GAAATGCTTTCGCATTATTCACTGCATTGGCATGACATTGAGCAATAGCGAGCTGGTGACACATAAACTAAGAGCAATTACGAGGTACGAGTACCTTAGCACTAGTTACTAAATACCACTGGCCATCAATTAAACAGCTCTCGCACTTTGCTTAAGGCAATGGCAAATGTCTTATTAATAATTCAGGCCAGCAAGCCAAATGCCAAATGCCAAACGCTAAGGGCTAAGGGCCAAAAGTTGGCTTTGTTGGCTTTGTTCTTGTAGCCAACTCATTTGTCACACTGAAATTTATTAAAATGATTATCTCGTACATACATATCGCACGGAATGCGTAATTTTAGTCAGTTTGTTGTTTGAGGGGAGGCGTGGTTGCGCCACCCTGCCCGATTTTCCGTCGCCCCCTTGCCATTTTTTTTTTTGTGTGTGGCCACAAATTGCAGTTGCGTTTGTTATTAGAGGCAAACACAGAAAAGACAACAGCTTCTGGCTTTGCCTCTCTGATAAGCCCATGAGTGTGGTTTCTATATACCCTGTGGAGAGTTCGAGAGAGGTTGGATGAACGAGCGTTTAAGGTTTGGTGTATTTAAGAGGTGAAGAAAGAGATTTTGTAGGAGGTATAAGAGGAAGTGTAGAAGGGGATATAATAGGAGATATAGAGGGTGGTATGATTGGAGACTTGGTATAGTAGGAGATATCATAGGAGGATAGTAAAAGATATAATACAAGGTATAATAGGTATAGTGAGAGATATAGTAGGATATATAGAAACGGAGAGTAGAGAGGGATAGTAAGTGATATAGTAGAAAATATATAAGTAAATATATTAGTTATAGTAAGATAGTAAGATACATATATGATAGGAGTAGGGATAGTAAGTGATGTAGTAGGAGATATAATAGAAGTTATAGTAGTAGGTATAGTGAGAGATATAGAAGGAGGTATGACAAGAGGTATAATAAGAAGTATATGGAGAGATAGTAAGAGATATAGTAGGAGATATGTATATAAGTAAGTATATTAGAAATAGTAGGGTAGTAAGATATATGATAGGAGTAGAGATCGTAAGAGATGTAGTAGAAGATATTGCATGTGGAATATTTGTAGGTAGAGAAGGAGAGAGATTAAATAGGAGATACTTTCTACTAGAGCAGTACGGGGCATAGTAGGCATAGTGGAATGCAACTATAGTCGGATATGGAGCACAAACAGTGTGAGAAGAATTAAGACATCTTGAATACTAAATACTACCCATAAATGCAGGCACAAGTCTATATAACTTCCACTGCAGGGTATCTTCACGTCGATCAAGCCCCAGCTGTGTACTTGGCCTTTGTCTTTTGGTCCTGTGCTTGGGCATAGTTTAATTGTAGCGCGTGTCGGACCTGGTTAACTGGAAGCAAAGGCTGAGACAGGCGCAATGGCAAGGGACTTGACAATGGTGGAGGGCTACAGCTGTGGCCGGGGCGTGGTTAGAGCAACCTTGAGGCAGAGGTAAGGGCAATTAGTTGAACTACGCCCTGGGGAATAGCGATAATTAAAATGCTGCTGTATGCCGCAATATTTTTTAGCTGCCATATCTGACTAATCAGATTGCCCCTATTTCAAACCAGTCAACCTTTCTTTGGCTTATACCACCCACTCACCCACTCACCCACACACACACACACACACACACACACACGCACGCTGTGGGTAAATCAACATTTGCGTTTAATTTGATGGTAAAAAGCACTTTAATTTAGTTGCCAAAGCCATCGAGCCAGCATCAACAGCCAACAGTGCTCAGGATTAGAATCCTATTAATTCAAATTCAAAGCGAATACCAAATTGATTGCCAGTAATCGTTTTCGTTTTCGTTTTGGTCTTCGTTTTTTAGTTTTCTTGCCATTTTTGCTCGTCAAACTGTTCTTTTTGTTACCAACGAAAAAAAAACTCTGCATTGTTTTCATACAAAAATATTTTTTGCAACTATTTTATGGACGGAACGTGCGATGCGACGCCTTTTGTTGCGCTCCTTCGGCTCGTCGGGATTGCTTTGACGACACCTCCTTTGGCTGGATGGCCACCTGGACTGGCGCATTCGCATTTGAATGGCTTCTGTGAGTGTTTGATTTCGATTATTACGAATCACTCACAATTGCAATGCTCCAAGCAGCGCATCGAAGGCAGCAGCAGCAGCAGCTGCAGTTGGCTTCCAAATTGAAGCCCTTATCGAGTGGCTTTAATTCGGCTCGGCTTCAAGCTTGTGGCCACAAGCAATTTAATTGTTATCTAGTCGGAGCCAGGGCTGGCATATAGACGCATTTGCGAGGGTTGCTCAAGCTATTTTGGATGTGAAAATAAAAATATTAAAAAAAGATAATGTAAAAACCAAATTATAAGTAATTGTTTATCCTTCTACAAGTTGTTCATATTATGCCAAATTTTATAAGCTGCCCTCGCATTAAAACTGTAATATAACTCTTCAAATCTATAATAGAGCTTCTATTTTAATATGAGAAAATTAAATAAACTGCCAAATATTATTTTTGAATAGAAGTATAGTTAAATAAATATACATATAAACTGCCAGATATTATTTTTGAATAAAAATATAGTTAAATAAATATACATAGATCCATTAACATTAAATTTAAAGTAAAACTGGGACTATAAATTTAATGTACAACTATTCGAAACCCAATAATCATTTGTGTTTACTTTATATTATCGATATATAGTAAATACCATAACTGAGGTCTTTAATTATGGTTTTGCTATCCTCGCCTCATGGCAACAATAAACTTCGTCAATTGTTTGCTCTATGTTCATTTTGCAAATTTTCAAACTTTCCATTTTTTTTTTATATATATATTTTTAGTTTTGTTTTGGTTGCGCAGCTGGCAGCGATTTTCAATTTGGCGAACGGCAAATGGCAAATGTCGTCGCGAGGAAAAATGAAAATAGCTTAAAAAGTCGGGCAAAGAAAATGTTGGCGGAAAAAGTGTTTGGCAAATTTGTGTTTCTGCACGCAGTTTGTTTTTCTTGCTCCAGCTTTGGGGCACATGTGCGCGTGTGTGTGTGTGTGTGTGTGTGTGTGTGTGCGAGCATCGGGAAAGGCAAATT